AATGATATATTATATATTATCATTTATATAGTAGTTTATAATATGTATTAAAAAATTTACATTCAACATTCTTTTTATATATAATTATCATTATAATAACTTTGGCATGTAAATAAAAATTATATTATTAACCATAATATTAAAATACAAAATTATTATTTAAATAGTAAGAATCAAATCCTAATTAGTCTTAACTAATTTCCTGATGTTATGTGTCTTATCAAAGAAAAACTCAATGTTGATAACTAAGTCTTATCACCAACATCCACAATATCATGCTGATGATTACTTGTAAAAAATACAAGAAGGCAACACAAAATAAAAGGGAGTGAGAAACATCTCACTCTAGCTCACGATGTAGGAACGTAAACCTACTAGTCAAACACAAACAATACATACAACATGATATAACATACATAGTTACACATTATCATATTTAACTCATTCATAGCATAGTAAGTAACAAGAAATAAGATTATAATGCATATGCAATGAATATGAACTATATGTTATCATACATGTGATGCTAATAAAAATATCACATATCACACTTGTGCATTGTTGCTAACAACACACTAGAGTAGTCTAGGAGTACGTGTCAAGTCACACACTTTGCACACTCTCACTAGAAGAACATACTATCAGGGTCTGGTAAGGATAGTTAAGTTGCACAAGATACATCTCATGCTCACAAAGACAGAACTGAAACATCCAAACTAAGCTATCCCCAAGGTTGGTTCCTAAACTTTTGCACAAAGGACTTTCACTGGCGGTGTATTCCATATCGTGCCTTAACAAAAATATTTTTTTGCATATGATGCATGTCAAATAGACTTTATGCATAATTTTTTACATGATCTCATTAATTCATTGTCAGCTAATCCCTTATCATAAAATCATCAACCATTCTCAATATAGTAATTAACAATTCAACTATATCAATTAAATATTAACAATCAATGACATAAGGGACCACATGTCCACATCACTACAACTCATAGATAGCTCACAAGCATATTAATAGCACTCACATACTACATTTTCATAACTTAATCTTCTATGATATCACGTGGTTCAAACACCTTAGCTAGAGTTATATATATGTTATTAAGTTTATATTAATTTTAATAGATTAAAACAATTATATCCAACTTCTATACTAACATCAAGAGGTAAATATGTCATCTACTATTTTAAATAAATATAAAACCACAACATTTTAGTCTAAAAATAACAATTTGATATTTGCTCACTAATTTGATCATAACTGAGTTATAAACCTCATTTTTAGGTGATTCAAATGAAATTTGAAAGCTAGCATCCAAGGCTACAACTTTTATGAAGATCACAAAAATTAATTTTTCTATTTAAATCTACTCAAAAAGCTTACAATGTACGCACGTTATATTTCACACATAGAATTCATTTCTTAACATTTTTATGTGATTCTTGAGTTTAAATTGTAACTCTAAATATCTACTTTCTAATCCAACAATAAGAACTCAATTTCTTTAATCACACTTAGAGAAATAAGATAAATATCTAGGTATGTTCATACCAAAATTTTCAAAATCGGACACAACTTACACCCAAACTTTTTTTTTTAAATCCAATTGATAAAAATCTCTCACTATCCCTTACATGGATAAGCTTTACATAATGGGTGCACAACTCCGACATAATTTCCTTCTCTGAAGTGCATACGTGAAAATAAAGACGTAAAAAGGGTTTGATCAAAAAATTCTTTTTTTTTATAAAATAATTAACATTCCTTTAACCCTTTAGTTAAAATATACTAACCACAGTTATCCTAAAAATCCTCTCCCCTTTTAATAAAATATTATACTATTATTTAATAAAATATCATATAATATATTCTAAAATATATTACATAATTAAAACAAATATTTAACAATCCTTATTAACAAAATAAAAATATCAAAATTATTAATATTTATATTATATTTTATAAAAAATGAAGTGTTACAACAAAACAACTGACTTAATAGGATAGTAAGGACAGAAGTTAGGAATTCGTGTTATGTGTCATAGAGTAGGGATTATTGATCGAATTGTGCCTG